TATATATATATATATATATATATATATATATATTTACAGTGACTCAAATTAAGCTACAGGTCACAATTCACTCACCTTGACAAAACTCATTCGAATGGTACACATTTTGGTGAGCTCATATACCGCCTCAAACCCATGGTTAACAGACTGAGCCAGAAGCTGCGCAAACTCTTGATTATTAAAAATCTTGAGGCTGCAGCTGCTGGGAATCTTACAGACAGTGGTAGGATGAAAGCCGTGATGAAAGTTGCAGTTCCTGCTCTGTACAAATATGCTGCTGTCACTGAGACACTCTGCATACACCTCTCCGCCAACATAGTACAGGTGAACACCTTAAAGAGACATGCATTACAAGAGTAAGCGTAACAAAGCAGCATGATGAGATCCAAAGGCTGTATCGGAGGAGCAACCAAGAATACCCAAGGAATCTATGGCACACTCGCTACCGTCTTTAGAGGGAAGCTACCACTAGATGGCCTTACGCTGCCAAAGATAATGAAGAGGCTGATGTCTGCCTAAATATAAAACTGTCCTCAACTAAGATGCAAGCCTCAAATTAGCAGCAGACTAGGTTATCAGTTCTTAGGTTTTCTCCCTTTTCCAACAATCATTTATCATCTCTATGAGGAAAGCAATAGCAAAAAAGAAAAAAACAGAAACCCACAACAAAAGTGCCTTTAATAAGTCCTTTCAAAGGATTGATAGGTGCCATCAACTTAGTCATTTGGCAGTTTTGCATCTTTTTGCTGGTGGAGAGGACGGTGGCATTTAAAAAAACCCTAAGGCACACATGTAATTTCAGGTCACAAGAGTAGCCTTTAAATGGCAGATTTATTTTACTTTCCTTTAAAAAAAATGTTTTGGGTATTTAAAATATAGATAAATAAATGTGAATATAGTTTCAATATGAAAAATTCACAGTACACAGCTAAAGCTAAGTTGTTCCCAACTTCTCAGTATGCAAACAGTGCTAAAAAGGCTATCCTTGGACATCATACCTCTGCATACATGTGAGTCACAGACTTGTATCAGGCTGTGACATTAAAAACTATTTTTCTTTCTGGGCAAATAAAAATGATCTGCAGAAGAAAGGGCCCCAGACCTATATACTGGGGAAAAAAGGGAACACTGGTTCTAGAATTTAAGAATTCACCAAGTAGGTTTCTCTTGAATTATTCTATGGTAGTGGGGGGAAAAAAAATCAATGCATAGAAGTGAGGCACTTCACCTAAAAAATCAAGTTTTCAGTAAACTCAAAGGAGTGAAAACTTTCTTGTCAACTTATTTTTGGCCATAGTATTTTTCTGAGTCTCTTCTATAAGAAATTGAATCACAATTACAGTTATTTACCTTTTGTTCTGAATTTGGACGAAGATTGTTCTCAAGTCAAAGAAGCAAAAAGCAGCAAGTGGTAAAAGTAAAACTTAAGAGGTAGGCCGTGCACTCTACCTGGGACAGGCTTCCTTACTGACCACTTGATGCATGAGACTCTGACATTTCACTGCAGTGTGAAAAGTTCTTTGTTTGTTATGGCAACTGTTTTGCAGGATGAATTATAAATAAAACCGTTACCTGAATTAAAAGGTGGGAGGGGTGGTGGTGAAGCCACTGAAGATTTAAGTCACTCAGGCTGGATTTCCTACCTGTAACCCTGCTTGTCCAACATAATGGGAAGTCATCTCGGCCCAAAATACTCCACAGATATCATAATTATAAAATTATAATCCTTCACCAGCATTCACATATGCCACAAATATTTGTTGTGTATTTACTGTGAGCCAGGCATTGTTCTCACTGCTGGAAATATTGTTGTCAACAAGGCAAATTTCTGTAAAGCTTGTATTCCAGTCAGAAAGGAATACAATACAGTCAAAAAATAAACACAGAAGTAATATGATTTCAGATCCAGAGTACTATGAAGAAAAACTGAACAGGATAAGGAAGAGAGGACTGATTATGTCTGTTCCTCTCGGGGGCAGAATCCATGCCTAAGCTTGTCTGCTCCCACACCCTACACACAATGCCCGGGACACGGCAAGCACAATGAAGACACGGAATGTAGAAAAATGACAAAATTACCTTTTCCAATATGTCGCCTAGTGTTTTCAATTGTCGAATTACGATTAACGTTTGACAACAACCCCAAGCAGAATCTACTTTTGTTATTTGAAGGGTCTGTAAATCCATCTACTAACACACTAGTAGAAGATGCATGAAAAGCTTCCCCAACACGATTGTTTAATTCATAGTAAACAATTGAACACCAATGTTTGGGCTCTTCATAGGCAACAGGCTGAACATCTGTGAACAAACCAAACAGAAACAATGTTTAATGAATGATTATCAGAAACTCCAGATTCTTTATATGTTTCCCTTTAACCCAACCCAAGTACTAAAGGAAATAGAAAATTTTCAGATATTTCACTCGTCTCACTGTCCTTTGTAGCTTTCAGTTTGTACCCAAAAAACAAAACACCGAAATGCCTTGAATATGACAATTTAAAAAATTATACAAATACAAGGATAAGCAACATCACATTTTAAATTGCTTTTCTAACAGACTCTAATCCAGGTTTAAAATTTGTGATTACAAACCTGTTTCAGCATCCTGGAAGATTTAACTATACCAGTATCTATAAAATTATTCTAAACAAAACTCTGAAATAAAAAACTAAGTGAGACTCTCAGCAAACAAGAATAGAGGGGAACTTCTTCAACTTGATAAAGAACATTTACAAAAAAAACTATCGCTAACATCATACTTAATGGTGAAAAACTAGAAGCTTTCCTGCTAAGATCAGTAACAAGACAAGGATGTTCTCACCACTCCTTTTCATCACTGTACTGGAAATTCTAGCTAATGCGGTTAAGACAAGAAAAGGAAATAAAATGTATAGAGATGGGGAAAGAAGAAATTGAAAAAAGGACATGACTGTCTACATAGAAAATCTGAAAGGATTCACACACACACACACACACACACACACACACACACACACACACACACCCTCCTGGAACTAATAAGCAATTATAGCAAGGTTGCAGGATGCAAGGTTAATGTACAAAAGTAACTGCTTTCCTATATACGAGTACTAGCAATGAACAAGTGGAATTTGACACTAAAAACTCTTTTCCATTTACATTAACACTCAAAACATGAAACACAAGTAAAAATCAAACAAAATCGGTATAAAATATTTATGAAAAAACTATGAAACTCTAATGAAAGAAATCAAAGAGGAACTAAATGAATGGATAAACCATGTTTATAAATATGAAGCCTCAATATTGTCAAGATGTCAGTTCTTCCCAACACGATCTAAAGATTCAATGTAATCTCAATCAAAATCCCAGCAAATCATTTTGTAGATATCAACAAACTGATCCTAACATTTATATGGAGAGGCAAAAGACCCAAAATAGCCAACACAATACTGAAGAACAAAACTGGAAGACTGACTCTACGCAACTTAAAGAGTTACTGTAAAGCTATCGTAATCAAGAGTGTGTGGTACTGGCAAAAGAACAGACAAATAGATCAAAACAACAGAAGAGAGAACCCAACAACAGGCCCACATAAATATAAATTAACTGATCTTTGATGAAGGATGGAGGACAATAATGGAGAAAAGATGGTCTTTTCAACACGGTACAAGAACAACTGACATCCATCTGCAAAAAAATTAATCTAGACCCAGACCTTAACACCGTTCACCAAAATTACCTCAAAACGCATCATAAACCTAAATGTAAAATGCAAACTATAAAACTTCTGGAATTTAACACAGAAGAAAATCTAGATGACCCTGAATAAGGCAATTCCTTTTAAGATACAACACCAAGGTATGATCCATTAAAAAAATAATCGATAAGCTAGATTTATTAAAAATTAAAAACTTCTGGGCCGGCTGAGTGGCGCGTTGGTTAAGAGCTGGCTTGGGACACCAGAGGACCCCGGTTCGGATCCCACATATGAGGGCCAGGGACAGTGCCCTCCACAGCTAAGATGCTCAACAACAGCTCGACCTGGAGATGGGCTGCCATGAGTTGCCAGCGATGGCATAGGCTGCAGTCCCTGTGGCAGTGGGTTGCCATGGGCTACCGTGTGTAGCCAGCAGCCAGCATGAGCGACCAGCAGCCGCCGTGAGCGGCCATCCAGAGGCTGGTGGCCGATCTGCCTCACCCGGGAAGAGCGCAATGATGTTGCCAACTTGGGCCAGTGAAGCAACGTCCTCCACAACTAGACTGAAGAACAAAAGGACAGCAACTGTCTGTTCCCCTTCCCCCAATTCCCCAGGGCTGTTCCCATCCCCCAATTCCACAATAAAAATCTTTAATAAAAAAATAAATAAAAACTTCTGCTCTGCAAAAAAACACTATCAAGGGAATGAAAAGGCAAGACAGACTGGGAGAAAATATTTCAGAAGACATATCTGATATAGAACTGTTATCTAAAATATACAAAGAACTCTTTGTATATTTTGTAAAGAAACGCAACAAGAAAATGAACAACCCAATTAAAAAAATGGGTCAAAGACACAAACAGATACCTCACTGAAGGTATTCACATGGCAAGGAAGCATATAAAAAGATGCACCACATCATGTGACATCAGGGAAATGCAAAATAAACTAGCAATGAGATACCACTATACACCCATCAGAGTGGCCAAAATCCAAAACACTGACAACATCAAATGCTGGTGAGGATGTGGAGCAATAGGAGCTTACATTGACTACTGGTGGGAATGTAAAATGGTACAGCCACTTTGGAAGACAGTTGGGCGGTTTCTTACAAAACAAAACATACTCTTAGCTCACAATTGTGGAAAAGTGCTCCTTGGTATTTACCTAAAGCAGTTGAAAACTTATGTCGACACAAAACCTGCACACAGATGTTTACAGCAGCTTTATTCACAATTGCTAAAACTTGGAAGCAACCAATATGTCCTTCAGTAGGTGAATGGATAAATAAATCTAGACAATGCAATATTATTCAGGACTAAAAAGAAATACAGTATCAAGCCATGAAAAAACATGGGAGAAACGTAAATGTAAATTACTAAGTGAAAGAGCCAATCTGAAAAGGCTACATACTGTATGATTCCAATTATAGGACATTCTGGAAAAGGCAAAACTATGGAGACAGTAAAAAGATCAGTGGTTACCAGCGGTCAGGAGGAAGAGCACAGAGGATTGTTAGGCAGTGAAATTATTCTGAATGGTACTATAATGGTAGATACATGTCAGTATTCATTTGTTACAACCCACAGAATGTACAGCAGCAAGAGTGAACCCCAATGTGAACTATGCATTTTGGGTGATAATGATGTGTCAGTGTAGGCTCACTGATTGTAATATCTGCACCACTCTGGTGCAGGCTGTACATGTGTGGAGGAAGGGAGGATGTTAACAACTCTGTACTTTCTGCTCAAATTTGTTGGGAAACTAAAACTGCTCTAAAAAATAAAGTCTGTTAAGACAAAAATGAAAGGAAGAAAACACAACTAAGTAAGCATTATCTTTAGGTAAAAGGTGGTATACATTTTAAATATTAAGTGCCAGAACTGACTATAGAAAAAAATTTAGACATAGTCAAAACTATAGACAGTCCCCGGCTTACGATGGTTCAACTTAAGATTTTTCACTTTGCGATGGTACAAAAGCAATATGCATTCCATAGAAACCGTACTTTGAAGTTTGGATTTTGATCTTCTCCTGGGCTAATGATATGCGGTACAATGTTCTCTCAGGATGCTGGGCAGTGGCAGCAAGCCACAGCCCAGTCAGCCACATGATCATGAGGCTCAACAACTGATAATCTACAGTATATTCACTATGTGAGATATTTTGCCCAACTGGGCTACTGTAAGTGTCTGAGCACATTTAATTAAAGTTGGCAAGGCTTAAGCTATGATACGAAGGTCTGACAATTAAGTTCGCGAACTCGTCCTAGAAAAATTGCCACATACCTCATTGCTGTATATCACTATGGTCACCTTTGAAGGACTCCCCTTGGGAAGCTATGCACTGATGCCAGCGCCTAGTCCACCCTTCAAAGCAATTTGGAAACTCTTTTTCTGGAATGGCCATCAGAACTGTTGTCCTATTATCCTTGATGTCCTGAATGCCATTAAAATGTCTTCCTTTTAATATTTCCTTTATCTTTAGGTAGAGAAAGAAGTCATTGGAGGCCAGATCAGGTGAGTAGGGAGGGTGTTCCAATGCAGTTATTTGTTTACTGGCTAAAAACTCCCTCCCAGACAGTGCCCTGTGAGCTGGTGCATTGTCGTGATTCGTGATGCAAGAGCCATGAATTGTGGGTGAGAAGTTCAGGTCGTCTAACTTTTTCATGCAGCCTTTTCAGCACTTCCAAAGAGTAAGTTTGGTTAACTGTTTGTCCAGTTGGTACAAATTCATATTGAATAATCCTGATATCAAAAACGGTTAGCAACACTGATGTAACAAGTTCATGAACTTAATTGTCAAGCCTCGTATTGCATTGCGTAAATTAGGTGTATTGAATGCTGTTTTTTACTTACATTTTTTTTTTTTTTTTACAATGGGATTATTGGATTGTAACCCCACTGTAAGTCGAGGAGCATCTGTACTGACCAAATTCTTTTTCGTGTAAAGTAAAAAATTCATAGTGGGCACAGTGGATGAGAGGGACCCGGGAAGCTCTTCCTCCAGGTCTCGCCAAGTATCTTGGGGCTGAGATCAGGCAGAAGCCATGGACTCTATTTTCTTTTAAGAAAGGCAGAGATTGACATCTGAGAAAAACTTAAAGGAGTGGTCACGTGGCCTATATAGGCAGTGCAAAAGAATTGGTTAACTTGTAAAATTCAATTCTGATTATTCAATTGCGAAGATTTCAGATGAAGAGAAACAGAAAAATAAATTAATGTGGACCCATAGTGAGAAATCCTAAGAGCTCAGATTTTAAAGACGTTTATACCAAAAATGAAAAGAAGGGACCCATAACCAAAAATTCCCCATTCTCCCTCCCCCAGGCCCTTTGTTAACTACCATTCTACTTTCTGTCTCTCTGAATTTGCTTATTCTAGTTCCCTCATCTAAGTGGAATCATATAATATGTGGTTGTCCTTTTGTGGCTGGCTTATTTCATATAGATAAAACTTTTCAAGGTTCATCCATGTTGTAGCCTGTATCACCATTTCATTCCTTTTTAAGGCTGAAAGATATTCTATTATATGGATATACCACATTTTGTTTATCCATGTATCAGTTGATGGACATTTGGGCTGTGTCTTCTGCCTTTTCACTATTCTGAATAACGCTGCTATGATCATTGGTGTACAGGGGGCATCTGTACACCAGAGTCTGTGCCTTTTAATTCATTTAGTATTATATACCTGAGAGTAGAATTGCTGAATTTTATGGTAACTTTTAACTTTTTGAGGAACTGTGAACTGGTTTCCACAGTGGCTGCACCCTTTACACTTCCACCAGCTGTAGCTGTGCATTAGGGTTCCAATTTCTCTACATTCTTACCAATACTTTTAAAAAAAATAATAGTCATCTTAATGGGTGTGAAGTGGCATTTCATTGTGGTTTAAAAGACACTTTGTTTGAAACCCTAAACTCCTTAGTTTACCACAAGTTTAGAAGAAGTAAGGTACTGTCATTTTATACGGTTCTTAAAAGAACGATTTTTGTGCATGTGTTCTGTTTGTGATGATATTGAAAGGCCGTATGTCACACTGTGTTTCAGGAGACCCACATTCCTGAGAACAGTTAAATTCCAGGCTCCCCATAGTCTTGTTAATGTTTAAATAACATCTTCGCTTTTTCAAGGTCTAGAATTTATCTAGGAATTTTGTCAGACTAATTTGCTTGTAATTCACAGAAAACGTTTGCCAACACCTGGCAGAGCATATGGTTTACTTTAGAGAATATTCTATGTGTATTTGAAAACACTGTATGTTCTGATGTTGTAGGGTATCATAGGGACTGTGAATTTCGGTTAGATCAAGTTGGTTGATAGTGCCGTTCAATTCTTCTTTCTTTCTACTTGTTCTGTCAATTATTGCGAGTGGGAGACTGAAGACGCCAACTATTACTATTTCTGCTTTCAGTTCTGTTAGCTCTTGCTTCATGTACATGGGGACTCTGTTACTAAAGTGTATAATTTAGAAGCATTAAGTACATCCACAATGTAATTCATAGAACCTACCTACATTTAGAGCAAATTGTCTCAGACATGAATTTCTAGATTTGAATTCCTGCATCTTTACTTACTTGCCTTGCAACTTAGGGCATCTTTCTTTTTTAAACCTCTAAGAACTAAGTTTCCCCATTTGTAAAATAAATAGAGATCATATTTACATTGGTTGAATTAGACAATATATATAATGATCTCAGCATAACAGCATCAGGTAATACCCAATAAATGGTGTCCTCCTCCTCCTCCTGGAAATATGGACTATATATATTTTCCTCTTTTTTTCTCTCGGTTTCTCCAGACATCAGAGAGTACGGTTTCATAGTGTGGTATGTTCGGTGTTCCTTGGAATATTATTTGTCTCAGCCAAACAACTGAGTCCCTTTAGAGGAACTTGGCACTCATCTTCTCACCTCATAGATGTCTTTTTTCACCAAAGTTTCTTCTCATTTCAGTCACGTTTTGTGTTTTTTTCTATTTTTCCTTTGATAAAGGAAAATCAAATTAAACTGCAAAGGCTGAACTCACCACTTAACAACATATCCTTTGCCCCAAGCAGAGGCAAAGCTTTTCTTTTTCTTTTTCTTCTTTTCACCTTCACCCAAATCATCTTTATAGTTTTGCTTTGCAACTTTTACCCTACAAGCTTCTGCTCAATCGTGGCTCTGGTTTTCCTTACACTATTTTTATAACTTCTTGCTACTCATTTTTATGTGCCTTTGGTGATGGGTCCCTTCCTTCTTTCATTTTTGGTATAAAATTCTTTAAAATCTGAGCTCTTAGGATTTCTCACCATGCCTGTAGTTGTAGCCCATAAATTATGACATGTTTTGCTTTCATTTTTATTCAGTTCAAAATATTTTAAGATTTCCCTTGTGATTTTTTGTTTGACCCTTGGATTATGTAGCAGCATGTTAATTTCCAAATATTTCAGGATCTCCCAAATTTCTTTCTGTTGTTGATTCCTCATTTAATTCCATTGTGGGCATTGAATATACTTTGTATGCTTTCAGTTCTTTTACATTCATTGAGACTTGTTCGATGCAATGTTTTTGTACAGCATATGACCTAAGAATGGTTTTTAGATTATTAAAAGGGGTTGTTAAAGAAGAAGAATATGTGAGAGATAGTATGTGACCTGCAAAAACTAAATGTTTGCATTCCACTTGGTCATGGTATATAATCCTTTTTATATGTTGTTGGATTTGGTGAACAGAAAACATTATTGTGCAATGGGCAGTGTTCTGTTTGAGACAATGAAAAAGTTCTAGAAATGGATAATGGTGATGGTTTCACACACTGCACATAGACAACATGCTCCTGTATTTTATGAAATCCACATATGCACACCACCTACTACTAGAAATAATCAACGAATTCAGCAAGGTTGCAGGTTATAAGGTTAATATACAACAATCATTTATATTTCTATAAACTGCTAAAGAAGAACCCAAACGTGAAATTAAACAATTTCTACTAACTCATTTAGGAATAAATTGTAAAAGAGAAGCAGAAATAAAAGGCTTTTATAGTGAAAACTGTGAAGACCTAAATAAATGGAAAGAGATTCCACATTTGTGCACTGGAAGATGATGGCAAATCTCCCCAAATTGATTTAGAGATTCAATGTGAACTCTTATCAAAATCCAAAGAAGGGTTTTCTTTTTTTGGGGGGGAGGGGGGTGGGGGGAGCAGCAACAGACATAGTAATACTCCAATGATATGGGAATGCAAAGAACACAGAACAGCCAAACGATTTTGAAAAGAACAAAGTTGGAGAACTAACACTTCCTTTTTTCACAACTCACATATAGCTTTAGTAATCAAGATTACAAGTTATAGCTATACAGATCAATGAATAAAATTCAGAGACCTGAAATAAATGCTTATATTTATGGTCAACTGATTTCTGAAGAAGATACCAAAGCAATTCAATGGAGAAATGATACTCTTTTCAACAAATAATGCTAGCACCAACTGGATATCTACATGTACAAAGAAAGGTACATGGAGGAATTTAGATCTTTACCATACAAAAAGCTTAACTCTACAAGCAAATGAATCACACACCTAAATGTAAGAGCTAACGCTACAGGAATTCTAGAAGAAGACATGTAAGAAATTTTTCATGACCTTGGAATAGACAAAGATTTCTTAGATGCAACACCAAAACCATGTTCCAGAAGAGAAAAAAAATTGTTAAATGGGACTAAAATTAAACTTTTGTTTCAAAAGATACCATTAAGAAAATGAAAAGACATTCCACAGACTAAGAAAATATTTGCAAATCATATTTGATAAAGGACTTCTATCCAGAATATATAAAGAATAATTACAACTCAATAACAAGACAAACAACACGATTAAAAAACGGGTGAAGGGCCGGCTGAGTGGCTCAGTTGGTTAAGAGCTCGCTCAAGAGTTTGAGCTCTGAGCAACAGCGATTCGAGTCCAGCCCGAGCTGAGCAGCCGCTGAGCTGCCAACAGGTAGCAGGATGGCTCAGCTTAAAAAAAAAAAAAAAAAAGAAAAAAAAGAAAAAAAAAAAAACGGGTGAAAGATTTAAATAAACATTTCACCAAAAAAAGATACATGAATGGCTAATAAGTACATAACAAATGTTCAACATTATTCATTAGGGAAATGCAAATTAAAACCACAATGAGATCGCACTTTACACACACTAGAATGGTTATAATCAAGAAGATAGACAATAACAAGTGTTAGGAGGATGTGGATAAACTGTAACCCTCACATGTTACTGGTAGGAATGTAAAATGGTACTGACACTTTGGAGAAGTCTGGCAGTTTTTCTTAAATAGTTAAACTTACCATATGATGCAGAAATTCCACTCTTGGGTATCTACCCAAGAAAAAGAAAAATAATGTCCACACAAAGACTTATATGCAAATGTTCATCACAGCATTGTTCATACTAGCCAAAAACTAGAAGCAATTCAAATGTCCATCAACTGGTGAATGGATAAATTAAATGTGGTACAGCAATAAAATGAAATATTGTTCAGCAATAAAAAGAAACAAACTATTGACGCATGCTTCAATTTGGATGAATCTTGAAAACATTATGTTAAATGAAAGAAGCCAGATGCAAAACACCACACATTATGTGATTCTATTTATATGCAATGTTCAGAAAAGGCAAATCTATTGATACAGCAAACAGGTTAGAGGGTCTCTGATGCTGAGCCTAGGAGTGGGAGTAGACTGCAAATAGACACAAGAGACATTTTTAAAGGGTTATGGAAATGTTCTAAAACTAGATTGTGGTGATGGTGCAAAACTTATATGGCATATAAATTACACCTCAATAAAGCTGTTTTTAAAAAGTGGCCAAGAAGTTAAAAAGGAAAAAAAAAGCAAACATAACAGCAACAACAACAAAATAAATATGGTATTTCCTTTACCTCTGCTGGATATACTGGGCATAATCTGAGGAATCATATTATTGCTTGTATCCATGGGCTGAGAATTGTCTTGACCCATCTGATCATCTGGTGGCATATAGGCAGGAGGAGGAGTATCAGCTAAGGGGAAGAAAATGTGTCAAGTTCAAGTCCCAAAAGAATAGTTAAAATCTTCATCCTGCTCAAAGTTATTCTGAAAGCATTAGAAAATTCTTAAGTTTACCAGCAGAGTTCACTGCGGAGTATCACAGACACACACAAATGTAATATGCTATCTTAGGGCAAGGAACAAGGAGAAAAGAAAGCACACCCATTACCTACTGAGAACCTACTGTAAGTCCACATGTAGTTGGTCCAATCCAAGATAGTAAGATCAGTGCTAAATACACTAAAAAAGAATTCAAGGTCAAGAATTTTGCCTTTATTTGCTTAGAATCATATGCTCAGAGAAACTGTAGCTACTGAAAATCAAGCTGAAGGACAGATTATCCTAGTTTGGGTATGTTATCTACGGAGACACTTTTAAATTAGCAAGGTCATCACACAGTGTGTACTGTTATTTAAAACTGAAAAATAAAGCTATGCTCCCTCAAAATTTGCCATTGACACTAACAGTAGTTGTCTAATTCTTCTGCAATGTCTTAAAATGCCGTTATGCCCTATTAAATGGCTAGGTAATTTTCTTAGGAAAGGTCTTTAACTAGAAAATGGTTTGAGTTCAACACTTGTGGTTGAAAATCTTTGCAAAAGCTACAGCCATACTTATTTGTCTCAGTAACTATAAATACTGAATATAATTTATCTTTAACCCCATGGTTCATACAAGATATATTTTGAGACAGAGATACAGTCAGTAGTGAATCTAGGACAAAGTATGAAAATTAGTTTTTCAACAAATACCTAATAGCAAGTTAAACAGTTGGTACTTAACTCTTCTTCCAAAAGAAGAGAAAAACTGCAACGATTGATATTTTGCTACAGAGAAACTACAAAGAATATACTTACATATATTCTGCCTGCAGTAGACATTCAAATATTTGGAGTGACATGTGTCCATACATGACATGCCATTAACAAAAGGTAGAAACTTAATCTTACTTATGATCTTTCTCCAGGCTAATTAATCAGTTATCCAATAAAAGATAAATGGGGTTCATTTTAACCTTCCAAAGTCTAATATGATTTGAAAGCATAGTTTAAAAGCACAGACTTTAGAGTCAAAGAAACTTGGGTCTGAACCCGCACTTAGCTGTGAAGGTACTTAAACTCTTGGGGTTAATGTCAATTTATTTTTCCTTCTGTAAAACAGGAATACTATCTGTCTCACATACAGCTGTTCTGAAGATTAAATTTAATGCATATCTTTTATCACAGTATCAGTTATATAAAAGGTGCTCACTCAATAAATGGTACTACGCATTATAAATTATATGAAAATATTTTACTTTAAGTATGGCTGCTTCCATTGTTTTAAACATATGGTACTTGGCAAAATAAACTCCACCACTCTTCTGGAAATCAAACAACTACCATTGAATACAGAGTCAAAAGCAGCTAGCTCTTGGCATATAATAGTTCACCCAGACAGCCAGCAAATAAGAACAATTGCCCATTCTCAGGGACTCTCTTTTTGTATTAATAAAATGAATCCTTACCTGGGAGCTGAAATGGACTTCCTGGTCCAGAACTTGCTGGGGAGTTGGGGTACGTGCTGCTAGCAGGGGACGGGGGATAGGGGCTATTTGGAGATAAGGGGAAAGGAGTGTTGTTGGGCTGGTGGAAAGAATCTGGAAAAGTTGCATTTTGTGGCATGTGTGGTTCATTGTGGCTCAGGTTCCTAAACTGAACCAGAAGGCTGTGCTGTGGATTGAATTCATTATGACGAGGCACTAACACGGGAGGTAAGACTGAAAGACAAAAACCAGAAGTCATCCGTCAGCAACGACTAAGCCAATATCCCATAGATTAATACACGTTAAAGAGTGGATGGAGAGGATACAGCTTAAGACTGTAAACCTACTGAACAATTTAATTGAAGGAAGGACTGCTTTGTAGAACCTTGAATTTATTTACATAATAACTAAGCCAAAAACTCTATAAACATTTAGCATGTATAAAGTACTCTGAAAGACAGAAAAATCCAGAAGCGATACCACTCCTGTTCTATAGAAGATAAGGTATATTTTAAAACAAGCATAATCCAGAGAATTTAATGCAATGAAAGTTCAAGAAAGTTGAGGACTTCCAGCCAGCAAGGAGTCAAACAAAATACTGTGGACAAGACAGTATCTGACTGGACCTTGAAGAACCGAGAGGACTTCACATGGGAGTGCTAGGGGTGGGGAGAAGAGAGGAAGAGGCGAGGGGAACCAGGAGGGAAATAAGAGAAGGCGGACAGTTGGCCTAGGCACAGAACTAGGAGGGAAGACGAGAGTCAAGATGAGGTCAACTAGATGTCCGGAGAGCCTCCATGTTTCCAATTTGGAACATTTCATGTTTCTTTGTTTGAGAGATCTCACATTTGACGTTCTTCAGTCAAGTTTTCCCCACCAAAATAGTAACACTGCCTATGTAGAAGTCTTCCACTCAAAATCTGTTCTCTAAACATGGCCAGAATGAAAAAATATATAACAAAGCGTAAACATTTTAAGAGATACATTTTTTAAAAGATAAACTACTCAAACATTCACTGCCTCTAAAGACCCAAGTGATGAATCACATACAAATATCTGATTACTTTTCCCTATAGGAAACTATACCAATTCATCTCTTTTACAACTTTCCTGTATTTGTCAACATAATTTCACTTCTGAAAAACCTCTTTGACTCTGACATCATTAAGCAGCAACAAAATGAATCTGTTTTTAAGTTAGCTAGATCATACTTCCTTCCCCTCAGAAGCAGGGATATACCTGAGAAGTCAGAGGCTTTTTAAGTCAGTATTTGTACTGTTTTCTGTCTCGTTTCATTTTATTGAACTAGTGTTGTAACTATGTGGTTAACATTTGATTGTTAATTGTTTTGTTCTATTGTATGTTACCAACTGCTGTTCCCTCACAGAATGATGGGGCAACTGCCACTGGAGAGCAGGGAGGGCATTAGACAGCAAGAATTTCCATGTTTAACTGGCTAGCAATCTTAAATAACTATTTAGAAATTCAATCCAGTAAGGATTTCTTTTTTTTTAAGGCAGAGCCAAAATCACTGACTTCTCTCTTACTTGTATATTATCTATATACTTTTTAGTAATTATTTTCTTTTCATCCAAAATAATACATGGATAATTTAAATAGATGCTACATGAGATTATAACAAAATAGCAACTTTTTGTCTCTTTTCTGTTTGCCAAGGTTGAGGTATTTTATTTATTTAAATTTTTTTTTCAATTACAGTCGACATACATTATATTAGTTTCAGTTGTACAATATGGTAATTAGATATTTATTTAACTTACGAAGTGATCACCCCGGTTAATCTAGTACCCATCTGACACCATACATAGTTATTACAATATTACTGACTATATTCCCTATGCTGTACTTTTACATCTCCATGACTATTTTGTAACTACTAATTTGTACTTCTTAATACCTTCCTTTTTCACCTATGCTCCCAACCCCCCTATCTGGCAACCAACAAAATGTTCTCTGTTATCTATGAGTTTGTTTCTGTTTTGTTCATTTTATTTTGTTTTTTAGAGTCTACTTATAAGTGAAATCACATGGTATTCATCTTTCTCTGTCCCACTTATTTCACTTAGCTTAATACCCTCTAGGTCCATCCATGTTGCAGAGGGCAAGATTTCATTCTTTTTTATGGCTGAGTAATGTTCCACTGTATATATGTACCACTTCTTTATCCATTCATCCATTAATGGATACTTAGGTTGCTTCCATATCTTGCCTATTGGAAATAATGCTGTAATGAACAGAGGGGTGCATATGTCTTTTCAAATTAGTGTATTGGGTTTCATCAGATAAATACCCAGAAGTGAATTACTGAGTCCTTTTTTGTCTCCTGTTATAACCTTTCTTTTAAAGTCTATTTTGTTTGGTGTAAGTATTGTTACTCCTATTTTTTTTTTTTTTGCATTTTCATGAAATATCTTTTTTCCATCCCTTTACTTTCAGTCTATGTGTCTCTCTCAATCTGAAGTGAGTCTCTTGTAGGCAGCATACATAAGGGTATATTTTCTTACCCATTCAGCCACCGTATGTCTTTTGATTGCAGTATACAATCCATTTACATTTAAAGTAATTTTTGATAGATATGTAGTTGTTGCTATTTTATTATTCATATGTATCTTTTTCTTCTTAAAGAAGTGTTTTTAACATTCCTTGTAATACTGGTTTGGTGGGGATGAACTCCTTTAGCTTTTTCTTGTCTGGGAAGCTATCTGTCCTTTGATTCGAAATGATAGCTTTGCTGGGTAGAGTAATCTTGGTTGTAGGTCTTTGCTTTTCATTACTCTGAATATTTGGTGCCAATCCCTTCTGGCCTGCAAAGTTTCTGTTGAGAAAACAGCTGACAGACTTCTGGGGGTTCCCCTATAGGTAATAACTGCTTTTCTCTTGCTGCTTTTAAGATTCTGTCTTTAACCTTTGGCATTTTAATTATGGTGTGTTTTGGTGTGGGCCTCTTTGGGTTTACCTCGTTTGGGGCTCTCTGTGTTTACTGAGCTTGTATGTCTATTCCCTTTACCAGATCAAGGAAGTTTTCCATCATTATTTCTTCAAATAAGTTTTCAATTTCTTGCTCTCTTTCTCTTCTCCTTCTGGTACCCTATTATGCGAATGTTGGCACACCTGCTGTTGTCCCACAGGCCCCTTAAACTCTCCTCATAATTTGGTTTCCTTTTTATTGTATTTTTCATTTCTGACTGGTTCTTTTTCATGTTTTCTATCTCCATTTTTATCTTTCCTATCTCTTTGTTAAAGTTCTTACTAAGATTGCTCAGCATCTTATAACCAATGTTTGGAGCTCTGCATCTGGTAGACTGCTCGTCTCCATTTTGTTTAGCTCTTTTTCTGGAGCTTTGTTCTGTTCTTTTATTTGGGACATGTTTCTTTGTCTCCCCATTTTGGCTGCCTCCCTGTGTTTGTTTCTATGTATTAGGTAGGGCTGCTATACCTCCCGGTTTTGGTGGAGTGGCCTCATGTAGTAGGTGTCCTGATGGTGCAGTCTCCCTGGTTAGCTGAGCCGGGTGCTCCAGGTGTTTCTCTTGTGTGGGTTGTATGTGCCCTCATGTTGTAGCTGAGCTTTGGTTGCTGTTTGCATGTCAATAGGAGGGAATGACACTCAGGCCGACTGGTGGTGAGGACTGGCCATGACTACAGTGGGAGCTGTTGTGCATGGGCTGACTTTACAGAGCAGGATTCACTTTAGCAGGGCTCTGGTGCCCGCCCAGCCTGCTCTTTGGGTGTGTCGCTTGTGCAGGTGGTTGGGTGGGTGCTCTGGTGTGGTCTGAAACTGACCACTGGGTGTGTTGGTTCTGGGGTCTCTTGGGAGGGTCTCTGGTGTAGGCCAAGGTTAGCTGCTGCCTGTGCCCTGCCTGGGCCACTTGGAACGAGCTACAAAGTGATCTGCAGATGGTTCCCACTTGTGCTGGGCTTAGGGGTACCTGGGAGAGGCTAGGCTGTGAATTGAGGCCAGCTGCTGCTAGTGCCAGCTTGGGGCTGCTCAGCAAGAGATGCAGGGCACGCCGAGGCCAGATGCTGCTTGTGTGGGGTTTGTGAACCTTTGAAAGATTTTACGGAAAGTCTTCAGCTTGAGCCACGACAGGCCCTTTGGATGGAAAAGTCAACGGAAGAAGTTGGGGTGGGCCCAACAATAGAAACTTCTAAGCCTTATCCCATACTGCTTCCAGAGACAACAAATTTAAACTATTAGCCATTTCTTCTAATACTCTGTGCATTGCTAAATAATATGTGTATATTGCCATTACTGATTTGTCAAGACGTTATTTGCAGACTAGCTGTTATGGTAAATGAAGTACTTTTCTTATATCATTTGATCCCACTCCCTTTCCCCTTCCCCATTATGAAGTTACATAAAAAAATGTTGGTTAAATCAATATCCAGTGTTTATATTATATATAATTATTATTGTTGAACTAAGTCTATACTATGATTGTTTTTTCTTTAACAGTGCTTTTATTATGATTAATCATTGCCTTGTTCCTTCATTTACTTAATCTTAAGTATGTACCACTAATACATTTCCAGAAGTCCAACAGATCTGTCAAATTCCTAGCAATACTATTTTCCAGATGCCACCAGTAAACAAATCCATTGATTCCATTTTCCCCTAGCTCCTCCATACTTTTGCTAAAATCTAGACTGGTTGCTACATAAGTCTCCCACAAATCTGAAGTCCATGGCCTTCCCTGGACCCCATCCTCAATTAGCTTCCAAAGAAAGGGTGTAAGGAAGAGAAATTTTGAGTACTTGCATATATAATAAGATCTTGTCTTTTGTTTGTCTGCAGGAAGATTCCAAAATAGACAATTTTTCCTCTCTGAATTTTGGGGACAATGCTCCATTTTCTTCTAAAATCCAGAATTGCTTTGAGAAATAACAATATTCCATTTCCAGACCTTTATATGTGTCCTGTCTTTTCTCTCTGGGAGCTTTCAGAATATTCATTTTGTCCATGATATACTAAAATTTCATGAGTGGGTCTTTTCTTATCCCTTGTTCTGGTTACTCGGTCACTGGGCCCTTTCAATTTTCAGTTCTGGAATTGTTCTAGTAGTATTTCTTTGGTAATTTTCTTTCTGCCATTTTCCCCTATGCTCTATTTCTAAGATTACTGTATCAGAATGATATTTGACTTGAAACTTATTCTCAGCCAGCTAATGTTTTAATCTAAAAATTTTTCATGCATTAACTCATCTAATCCTCATAACAAAACTATGAGGTAGGCATTATTATTCTCACTTTACAGATGAGGAAACTAAGTTACAGAACGGTTAAGCAACTTGCCTATGGTCACACTGGTAAAATCAGGATTCAAACCCAGAAAGTTTGGGTCCAGAACCCATTCTTAACCACTAGACAAGACTACCTGGGAGATTAAACATTGGACTGCCTGGGTTGGCCCTCTATTTTTCTTTTCTTTATCACTTTCCAACTATCGTTTATCTTTTTCATTTTTTTTGTAGTACTTTCTGGCTCCACTATATAGTAACAATGTGATCTTGTATAAGTTACTTCCCTTTTAAGTCTTGGTTTCCTTATCTGTAAACTTATAGGATTTTAAAATGTTAGTACCATTTTCTAACCCTATGAAGAAAAAATCTTAGTATTAGAAAAGTGTTTAGTCCGTAAGTACTCAACAAACGTTCATTACTATTAATATTACTGTTACTACTACTTTATTAACACCAGTACTGTAAAATGATCCATCCTGAATCATAGATGTTTGACAACTTACTTAAGCATACCAGAGCTATGCCCCAGTCTTTTCTATAGAATGAATCATAGCTGAGAAAAATGGATTACAAAAAATAAGACATTTCTATTGGCAGATTATGTCATACCACGGCTATGAGGGAATACACTAAATCCTAGACTTTCTTTCCAACAACTCCTAGTAAATATCAATCTTGAGAGTTTTTAAGACTATACATCTCCATTAAATCCTCACATCTTCTTTTCCTCATCAATTCCTTCAGGCTACATTACTTCCTTGGATTCAAAAAGAAATTGAGAATCGCTTCAAATACCAACTGGCAGCTCTAACGTCCTTACACTGAACTTTCCCTGACAGTACCATCGCTGCTATTGTTTTTGCTAACTAGTCTCCACATCCAATGTTATTTTCACAGCCTTGTCACCATACTGGGCTTGTGGTATCTCCACATGAAACCCAGCATGGTACACAGACTCTAAAGTGGCCACCATGATTCCCAACTCTGAGTATTCACCCTTGAGTATTCCCTTCCCTTTGAGTGTATTATCTGTGACTTACTTCTAACCAATGGAATATGGTAAAGGTGATAGGATGTATGTAATGACATTCCATAAAAATATAACGCCCTTCTAGCAAGAAGACCTCTCTCTAACTAGCTTTGAAGAAGTAAGCTGCCATGAGTCTGAGCTACCTATGAAGAAGGTCATGTGGCAAGCAAATAAAGGCAGTCTCCAGTTGACAACTAGCAAGAGTTCAACAGCGTGCAAGGAACTGAATCCTGTCAACAATCACATGAGCTGGGAAGCAGATCCTTCCCCAAGTGAGCCTCAGATGAGAACCAAGCCTGGACCAACACTTTGATTATAGCCTTGCAAAGGACCCAATCAAGCTGTGCCTGGATTCCTGACCCACAGACACTATGAGATAATAAATGTGTGTTGAGCCACTTAGCTTGTGGTAATGTTCTGCAGCAATAGACAACTAATGCACTCAGCTAGTATTTCAGCTTATACAACTCATTCATTACAAGAAAAATATTTACTGAGCACCACCTACTAAGTGTCAGGCACTTAGGGAATGCAGTACAAAATAAAACAGAGGAGGTCCTGCTCACATCAGTCAATAAAATAAATATCTAACATAGTGTCAAGTAATGATGCGGGTATTTGAGCAAAGACAATGGAGTGAGAAAAATGTGCCATGAAAAGATCATGGGGTATGGCATTTCCAAGGAACAGAGGAAATGTGATAGGTCATGTAGGGTCTTATAGAAATCTGTTCTAAGTGCAGCAGAAAGCCTCTAAAGTATTTTGAGCAGGGGCTGGCATGATTTGGTATATATTTTCTAAATATCACTCTGGCTGCTGTGTAGAAAAGTGAATGAGCTGGGGTGGGAGAAGAGGCAGAGAGACCAATTAGAAGGCTAATGAAGGTGAAAGATGATGATGTTCTGTGCAAAGAGTGGTGTGAGAGATGATATTTTGAAGGTATTTTATGAAGACACAGCAAACAGCATTTGCTCATAGCTCATAGCTCATACAGGACTCAAGAGAGAGAAATAAAAGATGACTTCTAGGTAGCAATTAATGACTTTACTTCAATAGGAAAAATTGGAGGGAAAAATGAGTTGGCGGGAAAGAAATCTAAAGTCCTATTTGGACATGTTAAATCTCATATGTTTAGCAGACATTCAAGCGGAGATATCAAGTAGTCAACTAGATATAGAAGTCTAAATCTCAAAGGAAAAGCTGAGTCTAGAGTTCAAAATGTGAGCATGAGCTTATAGATGGTTTTAAGATAAGTGACAGCATGAGAGCACATCAGGGAAAAATACAGATGGAGAGATTGTCCAGGATCTGAGTCCTGTGAAAACGGGAAAATAAGCCAACAAAGAGACTAAGCAAAAACAGCAAGTGAGGAAGGAAAACCAGGAGAGTAGTGTCTCAGAATCCAATAAAGAAAAATTCTGAGTGGGAGGGAAGGAGAACAACAGTATCAAATGATGCTGGGAGGGTAAGTAAGGTGAGGACTGAGAATGACCTCTCTATCTTTAAGAAGGTAGTCACTAGTGATTGTGACAAGTCAAAGAAAGACTAACTGGAGGGATGTCAAGAAAGAATGGAAGGAAAGTAATGTGAAGATAATAAACATGGAGACTCCTAGAAAAGAACTAAAGGAAATGGGGCAGAAGATTGGGGGTACGGAGGTGTAAATGAGGTCAAGGTAGAAATTCTTTTTAACTTTCATTTTAGAAATCTGCAGTATTATGATGTGCTTATAGATGCTTATAGGCTGTCAGAAATAGTCTAATAGAGAGGAAAAATATAATGCTGAAGAAAGGGGTGATCACTGAGGGACAAAGTTCTTGAATAGACGAAAAACAGTGGGATGAAGTATACACGTGGAGCTTAGGTCTTAGTTAAATTAGACAAGTCACCCACAGGAATAGCAGAGCGTACATATATATGACTGACTGCTTACAGTGAACAATGAAATCAGAATAAGCCACTTCGGAGCTGTATCATCTATATATAAAAAGCTAAATTCAAAATCCAGTAAGTATTCCTTCCAAAATTAAAATCTTTAGGGAGGAAACACGAGGCTAATATAACCTGTTAACTGCTAAAGCCAGTTACATGCAAACCAGGGAGAAGGAAGCTTTTCTAATTCTTCTCGAGGGAGTAAAGCCTACCTGGACTCTCCACTCTCTTATAGTGGTAAGGGTTGATACAAACTTCTTTCTGCTTAGATCCAAAAGGAAATTCACAAATATCCAATGGTTTTAGCTCATGGTGACTCTGCAAATCAGGCCAGCGCCAAACGCGACAATATATAACGTGGGGTAAGCCTTTTCTGTGAGAAACCTGCAGGCGTCCATCTAAAGATCTGGGAATAGTGACACACTTGCTCGGCTGTCCCGGACTGCTCAAAGCTTTCTCCAGTTCCTCCATGGCACCCTTTTTCTTCTTTAGCTTTTTCACCAAAGCATCGACTGCCTTTTCTGCCCATTTCTCCTCTTCATCCCCTTGCTTCCAGCCCAACAATCGTTTTACTGCTGGACTAGTAAAAGAAAACAAGCTGGCCATTGACGTCATTTGATATAAATCTTCAGAGACCTTCCTGCAACTCAAAGTCAGTGGCTCCTGAAAGAACAGATCACAGGTGAAATGTCATATACAGGTCCTAAGCAGATGCTCCAGTTAAAAAGGGAGCAGTGACATTTATCTTCGTAAGTGCCATAAGCTTCTTTCATTGGTTCAGGTCCTGAAAGAGAAAGGGGGGAAAGGATAAGATCCCTAATTTAAATAAATGCAATTAACATACACTTAAATCAATATAATTGAAAAGTATGTTACTTTTAAATAAGAGCAGAAAAGCATTACAAAGTAAAAAAAACAAAACCTAAGTCTAGAAAGAAAAATGGTCGCTAAAGTCCTTGTGAGCGCTCAATTCCTTCTTCAGATGAACTAATAACTCAGCGGCAATGCCAAAAGCTACCAGGAAGCCCCCAAATGGCCTTCTAAGGATTCTGAAATACTTTCTTCTTCACTGAAACCCACGTTACATGCTATGTCAATTCTGAACATATGTTCTGATCTGAACAGAAGTCTTAAGAGAAATCCAGCTCTTCCCTAAGGCCATTATTCTTTTTAAAATGTTTCACAGACTTACAAGGTGTAGGCAAAAACCATGGTCTTATTCAAGTCACATTACATGCAAATTTTATTAAATATTGTCGTAAGATAAAATGTACCAAACCCTCAAATAAATCATAACACACCAAAGTGCCAGAAAAATGGGATGTATCTATTTTTAAAACTAAGAATGCTGAGTAGATTTAAAGAGTACATTCAAAGTTTAACCCAAAAAGACAGTTTATGATTTGATAATTCTATTGCCTTCTGGGATATTTTAAGCTGTTAAGTTAATGACCCTGCTCCAGGCAGACCACTACTCTGCACATTAAGAAGCTCTTGGAGCTGACAAGAGGAAATGAGGTGAGTGGCACTGCACTGATAAGAGCGGGTGCAATCCCCTGTGGTGCCTACACAGCCAACTACAGACAATGAGCAACTAGTGAAGTAGCAGGAGTCATGTTTGGAAACAGGATGTCAGTAATAAAAGATGCTTCCTTTCGCTTGTGGCTAAAATTGCCAAATGCTGCTGCAGCTCTGCCTTTGACAAATTCTAGCATGACTATTCTGGATTGGGGTACCTCTTTCCAGAAAAGATGGAGCTCAGTTAGAACCCAGGTAAACATAAAGTAAAATAAAACTGAATTAAACTCAACAAATAATTACTGATTGCTTTTTATGTGCCACGTACTATGAACAGCCATGATGGTGCTTAAAAAAATTAAATTAAATTAAAAAGGTCATACCAAATAGGTTTCACCTTAAGAGCCAACTGATTCATTCATTCAACATATACCTACTGAGAGCCTACTAAGTGCCAGGCACTGTTCGCAGTACCGATCAACTTGTAGTGGCTATTTAGACTGCAATGTTGGAACCACGGGGAAAAGGGTACAGGGTACACTCCTTATGTATGGATGGATATGCCCAAACCTACACAGGATAATTTTTGCCAGTAGGCAAAACTGGCTACATTAAACTACAGATAAATAACAAGAGGATGAAAGCACATTTTTCAGTAATAGGTCACAGCCTATAAAGTGTTATATGCTAAACTGAAAAAAGGGCTGACCTCAGTTGTAGCTACATCAAGGACAGGATAAAAGCCATTTGGGTCAGAAAATAAAGGCATGGTTTGCTTGTCTGAGACAAAAAGGTAAATTTCAAAGACAATGGGATATAAACAAAAAAAAATGTGGTCATACACGAATAGAGCATTTCCTAGGATAGAGAGGAGATAGGCCTGACTGAGATCTTATTCAGTAATACTGGAATATAATGGAAGCCAGACAGGGTAGTGCATGTGTGGGCAGAGTGTGTGCGTGAGCAATGGTGGGGTACCTAGAGGAAAGGGGAGACAAAAGGAGGGGAGCTCAAAGACCAGATCCTAGATCAGTAGTTAACCACTAGAAAGTGCTTCATAAATGGTAACTACTAATCTCATATCATCATCATCATCATCAAATACTAACCATATTATGTACTAAAGAATAAAAAAGTTATTTGCGTATGTGAACACATAACAAAGACTAGAAGGCTACATACTAAATTACTCATTGCAATTACCTCTGGGAAGAGGCATGGAGTAGGGAAAGGCAACAGAGAAGGGTCCTGATTTGCTCTACAGACTTCTGTATTGTTTTAACCTTTTAACAAAGGAAACCTATTAATGCATTACTTGCATAATGCTAAAATTAAAATAGTAGATAATCTAAAACAAATTATGGTGACTAGAATGGAGTTAAGAGTGTTGGTACAAAAAGCAGGTGAAGCTAATGAATGCCAGTAAAAGTCAGGATGGTGGTTATTCTTTGAAAGGGGGGGGGGGTATTAACTAGAAGGGAACCTGAGGGTTTCCGCCACCCTGGAGAAGTTCTGCTTCTCCCTCTGGGTGATGGGAGAGTTCAGTTTGTGAAAATCTGGCTGGCTGAATAGTTAAGATGTGAACACTTTTCTGTATGATTTAAAATTATTTTCTTGATGTATAAAAAGTGTACAGTGGTCAGTTTCCTTTCCATTTTTCTCCCCATCACCAGTTCCCCTGCTCTCAAGTAATCCCTTTATCTTTTAAGTCCTTCCAGAGAATTTTACACAAATACAAGCAAATATATATTATACACACACACACACACACACACACACACACATATACACACACGTGTATATATACATATATATACATACGTATGTAATCTTTTTTTTACATAAATAGTGGTATACTAAAAAGAAAAAAGTCAGGTCAGAGAAATGTATAAACAACGTATCTCCAAGGTTCTTCCATGTCAATATAGAAAGAGCATCCATATTCTTCCCTACTACACAGAATTCCAATGTAAAAGTAATCTTAAAAGTACATCAAACCATGTCACTCCTCAGCCAGTGGCTTCCTTTTATACTCAATATCCCAATTCCCTAACATTACTTTATAGGACCTACATGATCTGGCCTTGGGCTTCTCCTCCAAACTCACTTCTTACCATTCTCCTAACTTTGCACTTCACTACACTTGACTTCTTTCCATTTCTCAAGGGCTCCAAGGTCATTTCTATTTCAAGGCCATTGCACTTGAAGTTCACCCTGCCCTGGGCATTCTCCTCTCCCAAATCTTAACATGACTTACTTTCTCAATTAATTCAGCTGCTCAAATGTCACCTCCTGAAAAAGGACTTCCCTGAACACTTTATTTAAAATAGCATACATCCCATTCATACATCATTTTCTATGCCCTGATCCCACTAGTTTTCTTTCATAGCATTTATCCTAACCTGATATTACCGTATCAATTTTATTTATTATATGCCTCCCCCAATGAAATTGTTAGTAGGCAGGTAGCCTCATCTTCCTTATTCACCACAGTATTCCCTTGGACCTAGAACAGGGCCTAGTTATTAAATAAATGAGTAACAGAATAGTGAATTTTTTAAAAAGCAATTTGCAAAAATATACATATGAAAACTGCATAAAATTTATAACAAAAAAATGTGATTTATGTATATACACATATATAGTAAGATAAAAGCATGCATGGAAATGACACATGCTAACCTCAGGATACTGAACACTGACTGGGTTGGCAGTGGTGAAAGAAGGAAAGAAGGATGAAGAATGGAGAAGATTTGGCTGTATTTATTTTAAAACTAGATTTGAAGAAATCTTGGCAAGTCATCAGATGTTATTTTCTCTACTTTTAAGTATGTTTAAATACTATGTAACACAAAATTCATTATTTTTAGTGTTTAAAAAGTAGTATAATAAAAACAGAAGAGGATTCGATTTTGTCCTTTAAGATATCTGACCATGACCAGGTATCACTCTAAGCCTATTAACTTTTCTGGAAAGTAAGGATAATGGTTCCTAAGTCATTGAAATGCTGAAGTAATAAAAAGGTGTGTAGGGCCGGCTGAGTGGCTCAGTTGGTTAAGAGCTCGCTCAAGAGTTTGAGCTCTGAGCAACAGCAGTTCGAGTCAGCCCGAGCTGAGCAGCCGTGAGCTGCCAACAGGTGGCGGGATGGCTCAGCTAAAAAAAAAAAAAAAAAAAAAAAAAAAAGGTGTGTATACATGAGAAATAATTAACACATAAATATAATAAATGTTTTATAAACTGAAAGGTGCTACTCAAACATGAAGTATGGTCATTAGTATTTAAAGGAAGAAGAGTCAAGACTTCCAAGACTGGCTGGATCTAGATCCAATCTAACATACCTACCTCGGTATCACCCACACACTTTCCGATCCAGCCCAAGTCCCAGCATCTCTGCCCATCTGTGTCTTCCAAGAGAAAGCTCAGTCATCTTTAATGATGAGCTCAAACCCATTCCCTTTTGTGAAGAATTCCTTCATTACCCCACCCTAAAGAGGCTATGGTCATTGAATATTTATTATAATTAATTACTAATATACAACACTGATAAAAACCTATCTTAACTTCCCAAATGGAAGAAGTTTTCAGCACCTGGCACTTGCCATGTACCATACCATATACTAAAAGGGTATATAATGAATGGTCATTGATTTTTCTACCAACTATACTTTGAAATTAAAGATAACATCACATTTTAAACCCAGGTGACTAAGATAATTATAATTCCACTAACAGAATTAAGGACACTGAGGAAGTGGCTTAGTAGAGAAGATGGTTAACTCTATCGGAAACGGGTAATGACTGGAGATTCAAGTTCAGCAAGAAAATGATGAGAAACAAACCTAAGATTTTTGCACAGAACTGAAAAAACAAGTTTTCGGCAGAATGAAAAGAGCAGCAGGTACACACCTGAATATTAAGGAACATTCACTGGTAGGAAAAAGGAGTTACTGATAAAGTATTGCTAAAACAAAGAGCTCAGAACTAGATACAATGGTATTGTAAAAGATTAAACACAAGGGAGAGGTTAAAGAGAATGTGAACAAAGAAAAGGCCTGGAGATGTCATTAGTTAAGATTTCGAGACTGGATTTACAAGGAATAGAGTGTCAGATTCCAAAACCTAAGCCTCAATATTCGTGTTTTCTTAAAACTTAGCACTTGGAAAGGGGTAGAGACAAACCTTGCACTCAACTCTTTAAATGTGTAATACCGTATTTGCCGGCGTATAAGACGACTGGGCGTATAAGACGACTGGGCGTATAAGACG